CCCCCCCCCCCCCCCCCGCCTTGCTTTGGAATGCCTGTTTCCCAAGGTCCCTGCAAACACTCACACTCACACATTGGCCTTTCTCTCTTCCCTCCCTCTTTCCTTGAGTTTTGGCAATTCAGCTCTGGGAACATTCATGTCAAGTTTGCACTGCAGCACGTGGGAAACATCTGGCCGTTTTCTACCAAGAGGACAAAATTGGGCACTTTCCTGGGAGCAGATCTGTGTCCATGGAGGTAACAGTCCATTTCTTGGGAACTATCTAACCATATAGATATCAGCAGACGTTTCCTTCAGATGACACCTTACTAAGGCGTTCCTTCTTGTTGTAAAGTCAAACAAGTGTGAAAGTATTCTGGTTTGTGTGGTTGGTTTTTTTGTTTTGTTTTGTTTTGTTTTTGTCTTTTTGAGACAGGGTCTCCCTGTAGCCCCAGCTGTTCTGGAACTCACTATATAGACCAGGGTGGCCTTGAACTCACAGAGATCCACCTGCCTCTGCCTCCTGAGTGCTGGGATTAAAGGCGTGTGTACATACGTGGTGTAAAAGATCATGTTCTTTTATCCTAACCTAGTCTGTGACATCTCTACAGAACTGGCTGTTTGGGTCAGAGGTGGAGAAAGTCACCAAACTAACACTGCTTCAGTGTTGGTCACATAACAGTTCTCACATCACTTAGTAAGCAGGAGGTAAAAAATTCACCCACTCAAATGTTACTGTGTCCTGCACTCTTCCATAGACTCAACTCCTAAACACTCCGGGGCACACAGTCTCTCTATTGTCCAGCCTTTGATCTTGTTCTTTACTCTGCTTGGAATATGCTTTCTCATCTACCCGTGTTACCACAACTGGCTTCCTGCTAACCCCTTAACATAAAGTTCTTTGCCTAAGCAGTTCCTCACTCAGTGGTGCCAGGCTAACTATCCCTAGCAAATGCTCCCATAAATATCAAGCCATTTAATAGGCACTTGCATGTGCCTTTCTAATTTTTAAAGCTTTGTTTAGCATGTCTTTCTTATGAACGTAGATACAAAGTTCCCACATGAAGCATAAGAAGACCCAGCTGGGTTTATTCCAATAAAAAGGCGATAAACTCCTATGCCTTAGATGTTTGATAACACATGAACAAAGTTTTAGCAAATTAGGAATGAGATCATTTGTAATATCATCAAAGGTTTCTTAGAAACAAAGCAGAAGAACTTAAAGTATCCTCTTTACTGGTAAAATACTAAGATTTCTCCTGAAAATGGGAATAAAATGCCTGCTGTCAAGAATCTTGTCCAACATTATAGTGGAAGTCCTAGTGATTGAAATAAAACAAAAATAGAATAAATAATGTAAAGAAAGACAGCATCATTATTCACAGACAGTTTGATTGTAAATATAGAAAATTCAAAAGAATTGACGCTGGACACAAAGTCTCTATAAATAGCTTTAATCTTCTGATATACCAGTAACAAAGTAGAAATTCAAGTTTCTAAGAGGAAAAAAGGTGCCACTTATAATATTTATATATAACCTTGGAATACCCCAAGCTCCTCCATTTTGTTTAAGTTTAACTGGTCAACCATCTGGTCATAGGATGACCCCTAGGAAGGCAGGTCATACTAAATAAGATGGACGGAATACCTAGTCTGTTAATGAGATCGTTTTTGCTGCCTGGAATCTCAACTACTACTGCAGAACTTCTGGACTGGCTACAGCCACGTAGTCCGTGAGTTGGCCTGTTTAGCTGAAGAATTCAGGGAAGTGTAATTTCTCCTTTTCTTCGTCATGGTTCTCTTTAAGGCTTTGGGCTGCCCCGAGCATCTTGTATTTCTTTATTTTCTCTAAATCTTCCTTCTCTCAGCCATGTGGCTGCCAGCCAGACATGTGTCTGACGCCTTGTCCCCTCCATTCTCCTCCTCAAGGCAATTGCCAAGATTACTAGCTTGCCTGCTCTGAGGATTTTTCTTCAAAATACTAATAAAATCGTAAAAGCTTAATTCAGCCGATTTGGAACTTTTTGAGTTTGGTAGTCATTCCCAGTGGTCCTGAACTCTGTAACAACCTAAGGAAAGAAGTATATAACACTACCATACCATGTTACGCTGCTAAAAGAAACCAAAGATCTAAACAAGGGGAAGGGTGTATCGTATTCCCGAGACAAAATATTCAATATCATCTATGTATATGAACACCAGTCTACTACATGATCCAGAGATTTGATACAATTCCATTTAGAATCCCAGCTAGTATTATTATTCATTTGGAAATTGACTAAGTGATTCTAATATTTATATAAAAATATCACTAACCAAAACAAGGTAAGACAATTTTGAAGAACAAAGTTTGAAGACTGATGCTATTATATGTTAACACTCACAAGAAACATTCAGGGGACTAAGTGTGTTGTCACACACCTTTAATCCCAGCACTAGGGAGGCAGAGGCATGTGGATCTGTGAGATTGTGGCCAGCATGGTCTATATAGTGAGTTCTGTACTAACTGGGGCTACAGGGAAACCCTGCCTCAAACAAACAAACAAACAAACAAACAAACAACAATGAAAAAGAAACATTCAAAATGCACTTGAAAAATATATGTTTGTAATTACTGATTGAAAAGTTGCATATATATTTATTAGTATACATTTTCAGCTATGTAATTCATATTGTTCATGTGTTTTCTGATTTTATTTTTGATTTGTGCATTCTATAAATTACTGAGAAGGTGTATTAAAATCTCCCAATATGGAATAAATTTAACAAAAGAACTGCAAATCTTGTATACTGAAAACTATGAAATACAATTGAAAGAAATTAAAGAAGATATAGATAAACAGAAAGGTTTAGAAAGCATAACATTATTAAAATAGTAACAGTCCCCCACAGGGTCTATACACTCAACACAATCAGGTGAATTTTTACTCAGAAATCAGCATTGTGATCATAAAAGTTCATGTAGAAATGCAAGAACCTTAAACTAGCCTAAACCCTCTGGAGAAAAGAGTTCAAAGTTAGAGAACTCATACTTCCAGATTTGGAAACTTACTCTGAAACTGCAGTAACAGGCACAGTGTGGCATTATAAAGGTAGCAGCATATACATCAATGGGATGCAAGTAAAAGTCCAGAAATAAATCCTTACTGTTATAGCCCATTGACTTTAGAAATGGGCCAAGATAATTCAATGGTGGAAAAGACGATCTTTAAACAAATGATGCTTGGACAACTGGAGAGCCATAACAAAATGATAAAATATCAAAACAACAAAACTCCCAGGCTTCAAAGTAAACACACGAAATTGAAAATCACATCTGATAAGGAATGTGTATTTATAATGTATGAAGATCTTACAGAAATCAATAGTGAAAGGGCAATTCGATTTAAAAGTGGACAAAGCAGGGGGAGAGATGGCTTAGTGGTTAAGAACACTGACTGTTCTTGCAGAAGACCCAGATTGGAAGCTCAGCACCCACATGACAGCTAATAACTCTCTGTAACTCCAGTTCCAGGGGATCCAACAGCCTCTTCTGACCTCTGCAGGCATTGCACAACACAGGTGAACTTACCTACATGCAGGCAATACATGCATGCACATAAAATAAAAATAATAAATAAGATATTTTTAAAAATAAAAGTGGACAAAGGATTTGAATAACAATTCATCCAAACAAGACATGCGAATGACCAGATGTATGCGAAAATATTCTCAAGGTCATTAGTTAGAGAAATGCACGTCAAAGTGACAGCAAGACCCCACTTTAAATCTACCAGGGTGGCTGTAAATTTTAAAAAGAAACAACAGAAAAGCAATGTTGGCAAGAATATGAGGAAATTGGAAATCTCATATACTCTATAGGAATGTGTCAGCTTTATTCAAGTACAGAATAAAGTTTGATGGTTCCTACAAATTACCTAGAATGCCTAGATGCTAATGGTGGCACAGCCTGTGGTCCTAGCTACTCAGCAGACTGAGGCAGGAGGATGGCAAGTTGAAGCCCTGCCTAGACAGAGAGAGAGAGTCGAAGGCCAACCTGGGAAAATGATTGAGAACGTGTCCCAAAATAAAGTAAAAAAAAAAAAAAAAAAAAAAAAAAAAGTATGAGAGAGAGAAAGAATATTATCATGTTCAGCAATGCCACAGATTCTGTGCACTGTAGCATTTTCAAGTGTCTATCAACAGACAAACCAATAAACTAATGATCTCATTATATATCCAGCCATTAAAGGAAATAAAACCCTAAGACATTCTACAGCATGAATAACCTTTAAGAACAAGTGCTAACTGCAAAAAAGCCAGACACAGAGGATACATGTGTATGATTCTATTTGCATGAAATAACTAATACTGGAAAATTCATAGCCAGAAAGTAGATTAGAGGTTACCAGGGCTGGGGAGGAAGAGAGCAAACACACTCATGACTCAAAGGTAATAGAGTTTCTGTGTGGTGTGGAACATCTGGAAAATAGAGGTTGCATGTCAAAGTGATGGTTGTACAACACTGTGATCGTAAATTATATTCTTAAATTATACATGTAAAATTATTATATATATGAGTATTTTGTCTGTCTGTATGTACATATACCCATATTGTGCATTGCCCATGGAGGCCAGAAGAGAGCACTAGATCCCCTGGAACTGGAGTTATGGATGGCCTTTAGCTGTCATGTGGGTGCCGGGAACTGAGCCAGGGTCCTTTGCAAGAACAGCCAGTGCTCTTAACTACTGAGCAATCTCTCCAGCCCTGTATTTTACAATAAAAAAATTAAACAGCAAAGCCCATGTAGTTTCACACTAGAAATAAATGCATTATATAGTGTGTGAACTATGCTTCCAAAAGCTGTCAAAGATAGAGATGGGATTTGAGTAGACAGTTCTACAGAGAAGGTATCCAAATAGCCAGAAGCACATGTAGACACTCAACAGTGTAAGCCATTAGGGAAATTAAAATCAAAACCACAATAGCACACACTAGGATGGCTGTAATTAAAACACCAAAAGCAAAATGCTAGACAACCATGTGGACAAGATGGGGGCAAAGGTGGAACGCTTACAGATTACTGGCCAGAATGGAGAATCAAGCAACATGTTTAGAAGAGTTCAGACCTTCCAAAAAAGCTAGGCATAGTTATCATTTGGCATATATATATATATATATAATGGAAAGCATGTGTTTCATATAGAAATTAGTACAGACAGCCATTGTGGCATTATTCATAAAATCAAAAACTGAAAACAACCCAAATGTCCATACAGTAGTTAATAAGCAAAATATGGAATATCATAATGATTTGCCCATAAAAAACGGTTGAAGTTCTGAAATAGGCTTACATGCAGAACCTTGGATGAACACTGAACACTGTTAGGTAAAAGCAGCCAAACGAGATCACAGCATGCACAGGTGTAAGGATATGAAATGCTGAGGTCTGGTAACTCCAGAGGGAGAGTGGACTAGAAGTGTTCAAGTGCATGGTAAGGAGGAGGGATGTTGATTGAAATGTGTTTGTTTCTTTTGGGGTGAGATAATATGTTCTAAAATTAGACACTGGGACTGACTGACTTGTACACATTAAAAGGTGGATTTACAGTATTGGAAGCATGTCACAATGAATATTTTACTAAAAACTCCCCAAATATGGTTGTCCATTTATCACCTTTCGGACAAGTTTTGCTTACATATTGAAAATGTGTTATTAAGAACAGAAAACAGGAGGTACCATCTGCTGAGGAAAGCAAAGGACACGCAGGAAGCCTAGCCGCTGCACGTGCGGCGTACTTGTGTATTCTGATTCGGAGCTACCTCATTACCAGCGCGTACATTCTGTGGAGAAGTCTTCGCGTGTACTCCCTGCCATGGCACAGCTCCAGGCACACTTCTACACTGACAACAAGAAATATGCAGTAGATGATGTTCCCTTCTCAATCCCTGCCACCTCAGAAATTGCTGAAGTTAGTAGCATCATCAATAAATTGCTGGAGGCCAAAAATGAGTTCCACAAGCATGTCGAGTTTGATTTCCTTATCAAGGGCCAGTTTCCTCAAATGCTCTTGGTCAAACATATGGAACTGGAGAACATTTCATGGGAAGAGGTTGTGGAACTGGAATATGTGGAGAAATACACTGCACCCCAGCCGGAGTGGTGCATGCTCCATGATGACTGGATCAGTTCAATCAAAGGAGCAGAAGAATGGATCTTGTCTGGTTCTTATGATAGGACCTCTCAGATCTGGTCCTTGGAAGGAAAGTCAATAATGACAACTGCGGGCCACACAGATGTTGTGAAAGATATGGCTTGGGTGAAAAAAGACAGTTTGTCTTGCTTACTTACTACTTTCTTATGGGAGTGGAATGTAGAGAGGAACAAAGTGAAATCCCTGCACTGCGGCAGAGGGCATGCTGGGAGTGTGGATTCTATAGCTGTGGATAACTCAGGAACTAAATTTTTCAGTGGTTCCTGGGATAAGATGCTAAAGATCTGGTCTACAGTCCCTACAGATGAAGAAGATGAAATGGAGGAATCCATAAAACAACCAAGAAAGAAACAAAAGGCCAAGCAATTGGCGCTTACAAGGACTGACTCCCTTGGTGACCCTCTCCAGCCACACAGAAGCAATTTCCTCAGTACTTTGGTCAGATCCTGAAGAAATCTGCAGTGTTTCTTGGGATCACACAATTAGAGTGTGGGATGCTGAGTCTGGCGGTCTGAAGTCAACTTTGACAGGAAATGAAGTGTTTAATTGTATTTCTTATTCTCCACTTTGTAAACATTTGGCATCTGGAAGCACAGACAGGCATATTAGACTGTGGGATCCCTGAACAAAAGATGGTTCTTTGGTGTTGTGTCCTTCACCTCTCATACAAGCTGGGTAACATCAGTAAAGTGGTCTCCTACCCATGAGCAGCAGCTGATTTCAGGCTCTTTAGATAACATTGTCAAGCTATGGGACATCAAAAGTTGTAAGGCTCCTCTCTATAATCTAGCTGCTCATGAAGATAAAGTTCTAAGTGCAGACTGGACGGACACAGGGCTACTTCTGAGTAGAGGAGCAGACAATAAACGATTCCTACAGATATTCACCTACCACTTCCCATATGGGGTCTTGAAAATGCATAATTTGATCAAAGAGACTTTCTTGTTGGGTTTTGTTTTGTTTTTGAGATAGTGTCTCATTCTTATGTCATAAACAATATGAATAAAGTTGGTAGAGAAGGCTGAGGCTGTAGCTTAGTTGGTAGAGTGTTTGCCTAGCATGCACCAAGCCCTACACAAAAACTAGGCATAGTGGTGCATCACTGTACTAGCCCTTGGGAGGTTGGAGGAGGAGGATCTGAAGTTCAAGGTCATCTTTAGCTACAAACCTAGTTCAAGGCCAGCCTGAGATATATGAAACTCTTAAAAAGAAAGAAATCAGTAGAAAATCGTCAGATATCATTGTTGATGCAGAGACAGAAAGCAGCCTTGTAAAGTTTGTGTGATGGCTATTCCTTCATGGTAGCTAGTGTTTTACTGTCTTCTTTCTTGTTTATACGATACAATAAATATGTGGCCTGTGTTTTCTGAAAAAAAAAAAAAAAAAAGATCATAAAACAGAATGCTCTGACTTCCTGGCAGAACATCTTTTACTCTGAAGTACCACTCCATTCCCAGGAATGCTTCTTGCCTTGAGTTTGTTCTGTCTGACAGTGATGTCACTGTGCCTTTGCTTCTGTGGGTCTTTTTTATTAATAGACCTCTCTGAATTTTCAAATTGTAACAAGATTTCAAAGCTAGCATCCAGCTATGAGAGAAAACGTGATATTTGTCTTTCTGAGTCCAGGTTACCTCACTTAGGATGAACTCTCTCTCTAGAAGCTGTTGACCAAGGGTGCCGTAGACTCTCAGACAATACTGGTCATTGCCCCTGCTCTTGGTTACCCACCAGAACTCGATGGTAAGCCCCTATTGCTGAAGATGCTACTATATACATGAGCTGTAGAACAAGTAAGGAGAAGTCAAGCTGGTGCTGACTTCAGAGCTATCTACTGGCTAGTATTCATTGTTCTGGAAGGTGCTATGTATGCTACCAGAAAGAAAAAATAATCATTAACCACCTAGTTGTGAATCCTGTGAACTACAATAACAACTACCTGCCAAGGTATGGCCACTGGTGCAAGAGTGGCATGAATATTATGGGAGTAACCAACCACTCTTCAACTGGATTTAAGGTCTGCCTCCGTGGATGGAGCCCATACCTGACAATGATATCAGGCTTAGGAACCTGAGGCTAAACAGGTCACAGGATATAGGGGAGAATCTGATACTAGTTTTCTACTAAATAGTTATATTAAAGATTCTTAATGACTTATTGCTATACCCATAGATTAATGCATCTCTCAACTCTCTTCTTCAGAGAAGTTTCCTTATGCAACAGATGGTGATTAACACAGAAACCCATAATTGGCCAAGGTATAGAGAACAAGAGGCTGTGGAGTGCTTATCCCTGAATAGGACACCTATATCAAACGTCTCCCTCCCAAGGTTCAGAGATCATTGTGGAAGAGGGAGCAAAAAGATTGCAAGAGCTAGAGGCAGTGGATGACCACAAGGAAACTGAGTTTTCCAGACAGCTGGTCAGTTACTCATATGAACTCATAGCAATGGTGACAGCATGCACAAGTCCCGTGCAAGCTCAAACCAGAAAAAAAATAAAATCCCAGCAAGACACGAGGAAGTGGGTAAGCAGCTCCAACCCCACCTAAGGAAATTGTGGCAACAGATGGCTGCTGGGAAGGGCAGATAAAGACTCCTTCAAGAATGAGACTCTGGGTAGGTTAATCAGACTCCAGTGAATGGACCCACACTGAAGGACATTTGGAGACACAAATTAGATTCTCTAGGCCTTATTATATATATATATATATATATATATAGAGTACATTGAATTGGGAGGTAGCAATAAGGGGAGGAGGGAATAGGTAAGGTGATTTAAATACTATCAGATTATACTGTACGAAAATTGCAAAAATTCAATTAAAAAAAGAAAAAAGGTGGTCTGTGCAAAGAGCTCACTAACATGAGAAAGTGAAGTGCAAAAACTCTGTGGAAAAGCACAGACACCTGGTGCAAAAAGTCTTCCATGGGAGCATACTTGTCTCATTCAAGAAAGAGCAGGGAAGAGCCGAGGAGACAGATGGCTCAGTGGATAAAATGTTTGAGGTCTGGAATTTGAATCCCTAGAACCTATGCAAAAGCTAGGCACACGTGAACAAGCATGTGTGTATGTACACTACACACACACACAGAGCAGAGAGGCCAAGGTGACTGAAATATAGTGGGCAGGGTGGGAGGAATAGTAGGAAATGAGGTCAGATGGGCAGTGAGGGGCCACAGTGTGGTGTAGGGGTCATTGCTGGGTATTTAAAGAGATGTTAGTAAGTGGATTGTTACTTTAATGATTTTGACCAAATGCATGTGTTTCTTTTACGTAACTAATATATGCTTTTCTTTCTCTAGGGCTTTGAACATAAACACATTTAATCCAAACTATAGCCCTAGGAATAGTTTGGGAGTTGGGGTCAAATTGGTTTAGCTTTTGGATCCACGTGTAAGTTGAAGACAAGCTGCTCTCTTCCATCTGGTTGTTGTGAAGACTCAACAACACAACACACAAAGGTACAGGATTCAGCACAGTGCCTGGCACCCAGAGGACACTCACGTGTTAGATTTGTGTGACCAGAGCACAAGGTAGGGGAGAGTGGCGATGAGGGTCCCTCTGGGAGCCCAGGGTTGGTGCACATGGGCACCAGCTAGCAAGCCAAATAGATGATGTATTTTATCCAAACAGCTAATTTTATTCAGCCCTGTGAAGTGTTTGGAGATGGACTGTGAGAGTGGGATTACTCTGTGGAGGATAGATTTGGAAAGATGGTGGCAGAGTGAGAAGGTTATGGGAGGGGCAGGAGGCAGCACTTCTGGCAAAGCCACTGTAGACTTCCTGTGAGAAATGAGAGCCTGTATCATGTGCAAATGGACACTGCACAGGCTACCTCTTTACCCTGGAATGTTTCCTTGGTTGTGAAGAAGCTTTTTAGACAAATTTTATTTGTCTAGTTTTACTTGTACTTTTGGGTTCATATCCAAAAATCAGTACTAGACTAATGTCTCCATGCATTTCCCCTACGTTTTCTTCTAGTAGTTTTGAAGCTTCAGATCTTGTGTTTAACTCCTTTATCCATTTTGAAATTACTTTTGTAGATTATATGATAAAGCTCTAATTTTTTTCTTTTGCATGTGACTATTAGTTATCCCAACATCAAGAGATTATCTTTCCCCCGTCGGTGTTTTGGGCATCTTTTTTGAAAATCCATTGACTGGGCTCTTTACCATTTGCTCTTTGTCTGTGTGTCTTTTTATGGCAATGCTGTGCTGATAAGAGGGAACCAACATACAAATATGTGTGAAGCTCAAACACCTCAAGGTAAGAAAACAAAGTGAAGAAGAATCCAAATAGTCCTCAAAAGAATACACAGAAATGACAAAATAGGCATGTGAAAAAAAATGCAAAAGTTCAGTAATTATCCACAAGCCAAAATTACCTCACTCTCATTAAAACAACGACTAGAGAAAAGGCAAGACAGCACCAGTTCTGTGGACAATGTGGAGAAAAGGGAACCCTTGTGCACTGTGGGAAGGAAAGTAAATTAGCACAGCCGTTTTCAAAACCAGCATGGAGGTTCCTCAAAGAGCTAAAAATAGAAGTCACCATATGATCCAGCAATTTCCATGACTGGGCATGTATTCAAAGATTATGAAATCAGTGCCAAAGAGATATGTGCATCCTGTGTTTACTGTAGCAGCCAGGACACAGGACAACTTAAGGTCCTCCAGTGGATGAATGGGAAGGGAATGTTTTGTTTATTTATATATTATTTTATATATTATGTATATAATTGAATACTACCCAGCTTTATGAAAGAAAAATCTCGCCATTTGTAACAGCATGAACAAACGTGGAAGACATTCTGTTAACTAAAATAAATGTGACATAGAAAGATAATTTCTGACCTCTTACTTATATGTGGAATCTGAAAACATTGAACTCATAGAAGTAGAGATTAGAATAATGGTTACCAAGGACCAGGGGTAGGGAGTTGCAGTTAGGCAAAAAGTAAGTCAGATGAAATGACGCAAGCCTGAGCTTGCTCATGGGGTGGGGGAAGGGAGGGAGAACAGTATTTTTATGGGATGCTGACAGTTCCAAAGTTGTCCATGCATGAGAGAAAAATGAATGCTTTGCCCTGTCTAGATCACTGTCTCTGCACCTGCTGACTTACTCTCATCTTGAGAATCCTAGTTGCAGGAGGCCCTCCAGTTCCCTCAAGCTGGCTTCAGATGACTTTCCCAGCATCCCCTCCATCACTCCCTGGCTTTCCTGGAAAGATGCTTTATGCAACTCTCCCCACACTTGTCTTCTGGAAGGACAGTCAGGACTGCAACCCTGTTCTTTGGCTGCACACTCAGCCACTGTGGCAGGCCCTCACCTTGACAATACACTTTCCAAACAACTTGGTTGAGCCCCAGGAGCTTCTGTTTTCACTAACAAACATTCATGCTTATAATTTACAAGGTCCTGCTGTTCACACCAATCCACATTCTTTTAACATCAGAACAGCATGTACCCATAGTAAGAATGTACCCCACTGCCCAGACTTACTGTTGAAGGATTTTGGTTTCTAGGAGAAATCTGGCCTTGGTGTCTGGTTACCAGCCTAGAGGCTACTGCCCGACCTCTGCCCTAGAAAACTTGTGATTTATTGATTTTGATGTTTATTTATGCCTTATCATAAGATCTGTACAAAACAGAGGCAGCCCTGAGACCAAGAATGGATAATGAGTGATCCTAATAATTAAACCAGCTCCTTTGGGTAGTTTAAGAGGCCTGTTCACCCAGGGAGTCTATTGTGTTTAAAATACACTTTAGCAAAGGACATCCCCATCAGGAGCCACACAAAGCAGGAGCACATTCTTTTAGGTTGCTCCAAAAAGACAATCACAGCAAGGCTGGGGGAGTGGGAGGAGACAGAGCAACAGACCTGCAAGAATGGGAACCACAGAAGCAAGCCTT